ATCCCCCCCAAGGTCAAATTCAGGACCGGGGACATGGGCCTTCGAGAACGTCGACGAAGACATACGACGGTAGACGACGAAGACGACGAGTTCAAATGTGATTGCGGCTTCGAATGCGAAGACCGTGTTCATGTAGTCGCGGAATGTCCGTTGTACAAGAAGGAGAGGGAAGTGTACGTGACTGAGCTGGGAAAAATAGATGGAACGTACAGGGAGATGTTTGAGGCATGGAATAGAGAGGAAAGGACGGTAGCTGTACTGGGGCATAGGAGGTGGGTTGAAAAGGCGGGAAGGGATATCGTTAGGATAGACAGANGCTAGGAAAACATTTTTTTAGCCACCTTTGGCAATGCAGAAAGGAACGATTGGCCATCGGTGATCGGTCCCGTGGGAACAATGCTCCGTCCTCTCGAGGACGCGTGGTCAATGGTCTAACCGCTAAGGCATGCAAAACATAAGAGTACGCCCCCCCCTCCCCCCCAATACTGCACCATTGCACCAATCCCCCACTAGTGATGACGTACCATTACAATGCCGGTCGCCCCGGTGGTCTAGTGGGCAACCTCGCAGCCTGCTAAGGGCTAGGTCATGGGTTTGAGTCCCGACAGAGTGAGTTTTCTTCTCACTAAATCAATCCTGGTCTAGGATGAAAGCGACGCGTTGCAAAACTCGTTGTTTGTAAACCATAATCGACTTCGTACGTCGCGAGGGAAGGGATTGCTGTACCCTTCTCGCGATAAAAATACCTCAGGCATGAACCGCAGGAGGGGGTCCAGCCCCCCCCTCCTATGTGACCCCGGTTGGGTCGTCTAGCTAGTAGAAGTGGAGGATAGGGGCCAGAGGGGCAGACGACAGAGTCCAATGATGGGAGAAAAAAAAATGATGTATCGCTGGTTGGTGTCCATGTTTGCGTGTTTGCTTTTCGTGAGTGGTCTCTCCACCGTGTGCCTTTTTCTGTCTCTGATTTCTTGTTATTTTCGGCCTGGTCCATTTTTGTCCTCGCTCTTTTATTTCATTTTCTCTTTCCGTACTGTCTCCTTTTATTTTTTTCTCTTTTTCTCTTTTTCTCTTTTTCTCTCTTTTTCTGTGCCAGATGGCCTTGTCTCTGCTTGCGTTGTGAAGTACCAAGATTGAACCAAGGGGGTGTACCTCATTCTCTCCGGCCCGTGATGGTGACTCCTAGTCTCAGTTGTTACCTCGCATAGCGCGCAGAGGGAGTGGAGGACTCCAGAATATCTATCGTTGATATCTATTGACTTGCAAATTCTTCGGGGCCAGTTTATTTGAGTGTACCTTTATAGGGTAAGTTAGCCTGCGACCACGGGAATTGACCGCGTCGAGTGTTGTATTAGTACGGACATACGAAG